ATCATGTGCAAGTGTTTTGTGTTTTGTTAAAATGCCTCTTATGAAGACCTTTTCATTCCACTTTTGTTTTGCATGTACAACTGTTAAGGACAAGTGTTAAGGACAACCCTTTCAAATGGGGCTTTTGATTGAACTATTATTTTGCAAGTCCAACTATTAAGAACTTTATTTGTAATGTTATAAACTGTGAGGATTTGATTAGTCTTATAAAACCCATGATTGTCTGTTATAAACTATTGCAAGTGTTTGTGGTACTGTTGATTTGGTAATGCTTTTCATACCATTACATATGAGGTCAAAATCCAATAAGTAACTCCCACATTGTGTTCAACAACCACATGCATTACATAAGTACCAATACATTGTTACATCCAGTTGCAAATTCAAACCATATTTGTCCATCATTACATAGATACCAAGATATGATATTTTACATACAGTTGCAAAATATAGACTTGTACAATCTGCCTAATTCCTCCATTGCGATGACCACATTTTGTGCCAAGTTGTTACAGACATTGCCAAAGCAACACTACCATTACTAAACCCCATGAAAGAATAAGCCAACCCATTAACTTTCTTTCTCTTGATTGACGATGCCCAACGTCCTTTTCAAGTTCCTTCAATCTTCTAAGTAGCCAACTCACCAGAGACTTCTCTCTAGGTGGAAATTCAACATCCACCCAAACAAAAAACCCACATACTTTTTTCCTCCTCTGCATCAACCATTAATACCAATTAATAAAAAAATTTAACCGGATTCACAAACTTTCAACAACATAACTTACCCCTGATGAGTTTGGACAAACATGGAATCTTCGAAGTGGGTTCGCCTCAGTCCATGAAGTTTGTAAGCGAGCTATCTTCCCACAAAAAAAATTTGGACCATTTCTCGATTTATGCGTGTCATCCTTGCGCAGGGGCCATGCTAATCTTCTCTGTATCGTTCCAATTTTATCGGATGTCCCCGAAGGGACGAGCTTTATTGTTAAACGAACATATATAAAGCTTTCATGGATTGAGGTGTTTTCCAATGTGGGACTTGTTATGCATTCTCCTTTTAATAGTCAAGCCGTTTCCCTGTCAACACTCAGGTTTCCTTCCTTTCCATACCAAAATTTAATATAAACAATGAAAAAATATAAAATAATTGTTGCCTTCTCAAATTATTGTGTGGGTGGGATCTTGACTTGGAACAGAGCCCAAAGTCCCCACCACCCATGCCAATTTATTAGATTCTTTATTATTCTCATTTATATTATTTTATTTGTTTTTTGAGGCAGAAATCGGGTCTCACTTGATGTTTGATTTTTCCAAAGCGCATCTGTGCATAGTCTCCACTTGGACCAATAACAGGCGTCCAGACTGGGAAGAGAACAAACAGAAGCCTCTTTTGGTTCCATGACATTAGAGCTTACACAAGAACCCAATAAATATTTCATTTCATACAAGAACCCTCTCTTTTCTCTGGACTTCTTCTCTCAAGTGCTATAAAATTTATATAAAATGAAACTAAATAGAATTTAGATTCTTTTGAAAGAAAATTGAAAATCATAACCACTTACATTGTGATGGCCAACGAATCTACCCCAGTTAAGAAGAGTATTGACTTGTACAAACCTAGTCTCATGTTCGAACCCCATGATAACTTGGTAACTTGTATTGTGATGAGCAAAATATTTCTGGGCAGCCCATGTCTTTTTTCTTTCCAGAGCAAGAAAGAAGTTAACATGCAATAATACATGTCATAACATCTAGGGACCAAGTCATATTTACCAAAATAGAAGGTTTCATCAATAAATACAAGAAAGTCTAGGAGACCTTCGCAAAATTCCATAGTGAAAGTCAAGCATAAAAGGCTAGGATATCATAGCTCAAATTAACAGCAAAAATGGCAGAAGTGAAGCTCTTTAGGACATGGTCAAGTCCTTTTGCTTTGAGAATAGTTTGGACACTGAAACTCAAAGGTGTCCCATATGAAACAATCTATGAAGATCTTTCAAACAAAAGCCCTTTGCTTCTTCAGTATAACCCTATTCATAAGAAGGTTCCAGTGCTTGTGCACAACGGAAAACCAATTGCTGAGTCACTTGTAATTGTTGAATACATTGATGAAACTTGGAAGGAAAACCCCTTGCTGCCTGAAGATCCTCTTGAGAGAGCCGCCGCACGCTTTTGGGCCAAATTTGGTGATGACAAGGTAACCTAAAACCACTCTTCCAAAATCAGATATTTCGATGCTTGTAAAACTTAAATATGGCACAATAATTTTGTAATAGTTACTCTGCAAATTTTCATATTAAGTTTCACACACTTGACTAAGTTTTTCTAGGCAAAAAATAAAAGTAAATATAATGGAAGTGTATTATGTAGATGATATATGTGGCATCCCATTTGAAGCTAATTCAAAAGAAAGTTAGTCAATAAAATATTTTTCACTGTTTGATCGTTTGGTTTGGTTTGTGATTTGCCATGAAGGTTTTGCCATCTATTTGGGAGTCATTTACCAATGAAGGGAAAGAGCAAGAGGAAGCTATTGTAAAAGCCAAGGAAAACTTGAAGTACTTGGAAGAAGAGCTAAAGGGAAAGAAATTCTTCGGGGGAGAGAAGCTTGGATTAGCAGATATTGCACTTGGATGGCTTGCACACTATGTGAGTGTGTTTGAAGACGTAGCCGGAATGAAATTGTTAACAGAAGAAGAATTTCCATTGCTATCAGCATGGAAATTGACTTTTGCAGATGCTCCTATAATCAAAGATAATTTGCCGTCTAGAGACAAACTCGTTGCCAAATTTCAGGCTACCCGTGAGGATCAACTTTTAAAAAAAACACCAAAATGAGATGGCTTGCGACCATTTCATGAATGGAACGAGGGGAAGAGTTAGATACTGGTCTTACTATCAAGAAGTACAAAGAGGATCATGGATTTTAGTAAAATAAGAAATATAAATGAGAGTGTGTTTAAGAGTATTTCTTATTGTGTACGGTTTGGTTGAACTCTTTAATAGTGTTTTTCTTCTCTCTTTTCGGGCTATTGGAGCTCTTCTGGTCTTTTCTTGCAGATGATCAAGTAAATGTTTTATGTGTTTCTACTACTTACGCTATTAGCATAAGTGTTAATGAGTGAAAAGGTACCAAAAATTTCGAATTAAAGTCTATAATAACTTCTATTAAGCATTTACCAAACAAGTACAGGAAGGAGAACAGGACAACCTAGGGTGACTTTGTAAAGAAAATAACAGGCACAAATAGAATCTACTAACTCAAATGGCTAGAGTGTGGAGAAATAATCATGTGCATTCCCAACCATGTAATTGCAAATATGGAAGCAAAAACTCCATGGGATTCAAATAAGACATACCTTGGCTGCTTCATTCCATAACTTCTTTGCAGCCACAATACTGTAAAATTGTAGCTCTGCTGTTTGTTCTATCCTTGCAGTCTACAATCCTATATCAAAATGTAAATGCCTACTGTCACAATTTACGAATTTCTCAAACAACCAAGATTGGAACTTGACTGAAAGAAACATATATTGGGTTTTTACATCTTATATTTTGAACATTAACTCGGTTATATAGTAAAAGTGGAGATACCAAAGTGTAAGGGATCATCTAAAGAGCCATTACAAGTACATACACAACAATTTTATAAGGGTCATAGTAACAGAGGCATTTTATCAAACACCCAGCAGGCAAGATTTTGACATGCATTTGATTCAAAAAAAGTACTCTGAATTCTAACTTTTACACAAGCCAGGAAGATCAACAATTAAGCCCACGAACCGTCGAAGCCTATAAATGCAAATGCTCATTGCCCCAGTAGCTTATAAATTCTCTGCAACTGCATTCAACACCATGGAGAAGGGCAGGAACAAAACAAATAAATCGCAAAAGGTGCAAAAAAAATTTGGACCATTTCTCGATTTATGCGTGTCATCCTTGCGCAGGGGCCATGCTAATCTTCTCTGTATCGTTCCAATTTTATCGGATGTCCCCGAAGGGACGAGCTTTGTTATTAAACGGCCATATATAAAGCGTTCATGCATTGAGGTGTTTTCCAATGTGGGACTTATTATGCACTCTCCTTTTTAATAGTCAAGCCGTTTACCTGTCAACACTCAGGTTTCCTTCCTTTCCAAACCAAAATTTAATATAAACAATTATAAAATATAAAATAATTGTTGCCTTCTCAACTATTGTTTTCCAGAAAAAAAAATTTTGAAAACTGAAAAACATTATCAAATTATTGCGTGGGATCTTGACTTGGAACAGAGCCCAAAGTCCCCACCACCCATGCCAATTTATTAGATTCTTTATTATTATCCTCATTTATAATATTTTATTTGTTTTTTGAGGCAGAAATCGGGTCTCACTTGATGTTTGATTTTTCCAAAGCGCATCTGTGCATTGTCTCCACTTGGACGAAAAACAGGCCTCTTTCGGTTCCATGACATCAGAGCTTACACAAGAACCCAATCATTATTTCATTTCATACAAGAACCCTTTCTTTTTCTCTGGACACACTTTTTCCCCATATTTTTCCTAATTTCATAACGTTGATGGTTTCTTAAAACTTTTTCTTCTCTCAAGTGCTATAAAATTTATATAAAATGAAACTAAATAGAATTTTGATTCTTTTGAAAGAAAATTGAAAATCATAATGTTACCAAATAACACAACTATTTGCATTGTGATGACCAATGAATCTATCCCAGTAAAAAAGAGCATTGATTTGCAAAAACCTTATGTTCAAATCCCATGATAACTTGATAACTTGTATTGCGATGAGCAAAATATTTCTGGCAGCCCATGTCCTTTTTCTTTCCAGAGCAAGAAAGAAGTTAACATGCAATAATACATGTCATAACATCTAGGGACCAAGTCATATTTACCAGAATAGAAGGTTTCATCAATAAATACAAGAAAGTCTCGCAAAGTTCCATAGTGAAAGTCAAGCATAAAAGGCTAGGATATCATAGCTCAAATTAACAGCAAAAATGGCAGAAGTGAAGCTCTTTAGGTCATGGTCAAGTCCTGTTGCTTTGAGAATAGTTTGGGCACTGAAACTCAAAGGTGTCCCATATGAAACAATCTATGAAGATCTTTCAAACAAAAGCCCTTTGCTTCTTCAGTATAACCCTATTCATAAGAAGGTTCCAGTGCTTGTGCACAAGGGAAAACCAATTGCTGAGTCACTTGTAATTCTTGAATACATTGATGAAACTTGGAAGGAAAACCCCTTGCTGCCTGAAGATCCTCTTGAGAGAGCCGCCGCACGCTTTTGGGCCAAATTTAGTGATGAGAAGGTAACCTAAAACCACTATTTCATAATCAGATATTTCCATGCTTGTAAAACTTAAATATGGCACAATAATTTTGTACTAGTTACTCTGCAAATTTTCATATTAAGTTTCACACACTTGACTAAGTTTTTCTAGGAAAAAAAATAAAATAAAATGTAATGGAAGTGTATTATGTAGATGATATATGTGGCATCCCATTTGAAGCTAATTCAAAAGAAAGTTAGTCAATAAAATATTTTTCATTGTTTGATTGTTTGGTTTGGTTTGTGATTTGCCATGAAGGTTTTGCCATCTATTTGGGAGTCATTTACCAATGAAGGGAAAGAGCAAGAGGAAGCTATTGTAAAAGCCAAGGAGAACTTCAAGTACTTGGAAGAAGAGCTAAAGGGAAAGAAATTCTTTGGGGGAGAGAAGCTTGGATTAGCAGATATCGCACTTGGAATGCTTGCACACTATGGGAGTGTGTTTGAAGACCTAGCCGGAATGAAATTATTAACAGAAGAAGAATTTCCATTGCTATCAGCATGGAAATTGACTTTTGCAGATGCTCCTATAATCAAAGATAATTGGCCGTCTAGAGACAAACTCGTTGCCAAATTTCAGGCTACCCGTGAGGATCAACTTTTGAAAAAAGCACCAAAATGAGATGGCTTGTGACCATTTCATGAATGGAAACGAGGGGCAGAGAGAGGATCATGGATCTTGGTAAAATAAGAAATCTAAATGAGAGTGTGTTTAAGAGTATTTTTTATCATGCCAAAGACACTTCTTCTTATTGTGTATGGTTTGTTTGAACTATATAAAAGTGTTTTTCTTCTCTCTTTTTTCGGGTTATCGAAGCACTTCTGGTCTTTTCTTGGAGATGCTCAAGTAAATGTTTTATGCGTTTCTATTAATTACGCTATTAGCATAAGTGTTACTGAGTGAAAGGCACCAAACAAGTCCTAATTAAAGTCTATAATAACTTCTATGAAGCATTTACCAAACAAGTACAGGAAACAATTCCAGGAGAAACAGAACAACCTAGGGTGACTTTGTAGAGAAATACAGACGCAAACAGAATCTACTAACTCAAATGGCTTGCAATTTGCAAATATGGAAGTAAAAACTCAATGAAATTCATATAACATATAACTTCTTGGGTTTTTACATCCAACATTCTCAACATTGCCTCGGTTATATAGCAAAATTGGAGATACCAAAGTGTAAGGATAAGCTAAAGATCATTGTAAGCACATACTTAACAGTTTTGTAAGGGTCATAGTAACAGAGGCATTTTATCAAACACCTAGTAGGTGAGCTTTTGACATGCATTTTATTCGAAAAAACACATTGAATTCCAACTTACACTCACACCTCGAAGACCAATGACAAAGCCGCCGAACCATCGAAGAGTATAAATGCAAATGCTCATTGTTCCGGTAGCTTATAAACCCTCTGCAACTACATTGAACACCATGGAGAAGGCATTAAAAAAAATCACAAAAAGGGCAAAAAATATGGGACCGTTTCTCGATTTATGCTTGTCATCCTCCGCTGGGGCCATGCTGATCTTCTCTTTAGGCATCGTTAGAATTTTATCAGATGTCCCCCGAAGGAGGCGAAATGTAATTGAAGCGGTTGTATATAAAGGTTTCATGAATAGCAGAGTCTTCCGATATGGGACATATGCTGCCTTCTTTTTAATAGTTAAGCCGGTTCTACCTTTACTTATCGGGCCCAATAGTTAAAAACCGGATTCGCAACAGGATAATTCTAACAGTCAACGAGTTTATTGTCTAGTTTGCCTTACCCTAAAACAACTGCAAAACAAAATCAACGGTGATGGTTTCTTAAAACTTTTTCTTCTCTCAACTCAAGTGCTATCAAATTTTTATAAAATGAAACTAAATAGAATTTTGATTCTTTTGAAAGAAAATTGAAAATCATAATGTTATCAAATAACACAACTACTTGCACGGCGATGGCCAACGGGTCTACTCCAGTAAAAAAGGGCATTGGCTTGCACACACCTAGTCTCATGTTCGAACCCCATGATAACTTGGTAACTTGCATTGTGATTTCTTGGCAGCCCATGTCTTTTTTCTTTCTAGAGCAAGAAGGAAGTTAACATGCAATAATACATGTCATAATATCTAGGGACCAAGTCATATTTACCAAAATGGAAGGTTTCATCAGTAAATACAAGAAAGCCTAGGAGACCTTCGCAGAATTCCATAGCGAATGTCAAGCATAAAGGGGTAGGATATCATAGCTCAAATTAACAGCAAAAATGGCAGAAGTGAAGGTCTTTAGGACATGGTCAAGCCTTTTTGCTTTGAAAATAGTTTGGGCACTGAAACTAAAAGGTGTCCCATATGAAACAATCTATGAAGATCTTTCAAACAAAAGCCCTTTGCTTCTTCAGTATAACCCTATTCATAAAAAGGTTCCAGTGCTTGTGCACAATGGAAAACCAATTGTTGAGTCACTTATAGTTCTTGAATACATTGATGAAACTTGGAAGGAAAACCCCTTGCTGCCTGAAGATCCTCTTGAGAGAGCCGCCGCACGCTGTTGGGCCAAATTTGGTGATGACAAGGTAACCTAAAACCACTCTTTCATAATCAGATATTTCCATGCTTGTAAAACTTAAATATGGCACAATAATTTTGTACTACTTCGCAAATTTTCATATTAAGTTTCACACACTTGACTAAGTTTTTCTAGGCAAAAAATAAAATATTTTTCTGTTTGATTGTTTTGGTTTGGTTTGGTTTGGTTTGGTTTGTGATTTGCCATGAAGGTTTTGCCATCTATTGGGGAGTCCGTTACCAATGAAGGGAAAGAGCAAGAGGAAGCTATTGTAAAAGCCAAGGAGAACTTGAAGTACTTGGAAGAAGAGCTAAAGGGAAAGAAATTTTTTGGGGGAGAGAAGCTTGGATTTGCAGATATTGCACTTGGATGGATTGCACACTATGTGAGTGTGTTTGAAGACGTAGCCGGAATGAAATTGATAACAGAAGAAGAATTTCCATTGCTATCAGCATGGAAATTGACTTTTGCAGATGCTCCTATAATCAAAGATAATTGGCCCGTCTAGAGAAAAACTCGTCACCAAATTTCAGGCTATCCGTGAGGATGAACTTTTGAAAAAAGCACCAAAATGAGATGTTTTGTGACCATTTCACGAATGGAAACGAGGGGAAGAGAGAGGATCATGGATCTTAGTAAAATAAGAAATCTAAATGAGAGTGTGTTTAGGAGTATTTTTATCATGCCAAAGACACTTCTTATTTTGTATGGTTTGGTTGAACTATGTAAACGTGTTTTTCTTCTCTCTTTTTTCGGGTTATCGAAGCACTTCTGGTCTATTAGCGTAAGTGTTACTGAGTGAAAGGCACCAAAGAAGTCCTAATTAAAGTCTATAATAACCTCTATGAAGCATTTACCCAAACAGGAAACAATTCCAGGAGAAACAGAACAACCTAGGGTGACTTTGTAGAGAAAATAACAGACGCAAACAGAATTTACTAACTCAAATGGCTTGCAATTTGCAAATATGGAAGTAAAAACTCAATGGTATATACCTTGTCTGCTGCATTCCATAACTTCTTGGGTTTTTACATCTAATAGTGTCAACATTGCCTCGGTTATATAGCAAAATTGGAGATACCAAAGTGTAAGGATAAGCTAAAGATCATTGCAAGCACATACTTAACAATTTTGTAAGGGTCATAGTAACAGAGGCATTTTATCACACACCTAGCAGGTGAGAGCTTTTGACATGCATTTGATTTGAAAAAGTACTTTGAATTCTAACTTTTACTCACACCTGGAGGATGAACGATTAAGCCGATGAACCATCAAAGCCTATAAATGCAAATGCTCATTGTTCCGGTAGCTTATAAACCCTCTGCAACTGCATTCAACACCATGGAGAAGGCAGGAAAAAATATATATCACAAAAAGTGCCAAAAAAATTTGGACCATTTCTCGATTTATGCGTGTCATCCTTGCGCAGGGGCCATGCTAATCTTCTCTGTATCGTTCCAATTTTATCAGATGTCCCCCGAAGGGGACAAGCTTTATTGTGAATCGGTTACTTATAAAGGTTTCACGAATAGCAGAGTCTTCCCATGTGGGACTTATGCTGCCTCCTTTTTAATAGTTAAGCCGCTTCTACCTTTAGTTATCGGGCCCAATGGTTAAAAACCCGATTTGCAACAGGATAATTCTAACAGTCAACGAGTTTAATATCTAGTTTGCCATGCCCTAAAACAACTGCAAAACAAAACCAATACCGACCACAAGAGTGATTCTGCTATCTGGTTGGGAAGGGCACAAACAAAATTTCTCCACTCCATCTTTGAGACTTGCATGGGATCCATCCATGTAATGTGGCAGTACTGGATGCACTCGTTTTCGTAATCATAACACAGTTTCGAAGTATAGGATATTATGTAAAACATGGATTGTAGATGACAAAAAATCTTACAGAAAATGTGTAAAAGCTCCACAAGTTAATGGTTTTAATGTCAAAGCCAGTCACAATGTCAGCAACTGATCTATAATCTTCTGCAACTAGGGAAACAAACGATAGCCGATTCTGCGCAATGTACGAAAAGCTTCATGTCTGAATTGCGGCCCCAGTATAGTTGAGTTCTGCAAGACAATACAAGTTGTAGTCCATAATTCATGCAAGAAAGAAAGAAATACTTTAGTCATTGAAGTTTGTAGGCCAACTTTTCATACGCATTTCATCAACCCCAAAGACTGAACATTCAGTCTCTAAACAATCAAATACTTGGAAAAAAAACATCGTTTTAATACAGAAAAGTAATTTGAAGATGAAAACTAGAGAGTGGAGCTCATGTATGTTGGTTTTATTGAACTAAAAGAAACAAAGTTGAATGGAGCCTCTCTCAACACTTTGAACCAAAACTGATATTGAAATGAATTGCATATAAACCCATATGCTATCTTGCCTTGTGAGCATTGACCAAGCAAGCAACACCAGCAATTCCACAGGAGTGTAAAAGGGATTATGTAAACATCATTGAAGAAGTGCAAACTTGATCAATGTTATAAGGGCCATAGTAGCAGAGTCATTTCATCAAACAGCTGGTAGGCGAGCTTTTGACATGCAGTTCATTATTGAAAAAAAAATATTGAAGACTCTCTGAGTCACTGAACATCAAATACTGGCCATTGATGCTTTTTCTAAAGCTAGAAAAGTAGATTCAATTCAAACTTTTACTCAAACCTGCAACTGGAAAATGGGATTGTTGGAAAATCACGCGCATAAAAAGCCAAAAAAATTTGGACCATTTCTCGATTTATGCGTGTCATCCTTGCGCAGGGGCCATGCTAATCTTCTCTGTATCGTTCCAATTTTATCGGATGTCCCCGAAGGGACGAGCTTAGTTGCGCAACGTATGTATATAAAGGTTTCGCAAATAGCGGAGATTAGCGATGTGGGACTTACGCTACCTTCTAGTTAAAAGTCAAGCCGCTTCTACCTTTAGTTATCGGGCCCCAAGCCCAATCTCCAACACACACTCCACGTTCTTAAACTATTGGGCCTTATATTGTGAAAAGAATTATAGCCCCAATTTTTCATTGCATACATCCTAAGACTTCTTGATTAGACATTGACCTGAGCTTTGGAGAGTTTTTTCCAGGTGCAAAAATCCCCAGTGCCTTGTACAGATCTAGTCCCTATATCAAACCGCCCCAGTCATTTCTCCATTCCAGGTATTAATCTTCGGCTTAACTTCTCTTCCATGAGAAACTAAGCTACAATAGTTTAAAACCAGATTTGTCACAGGATAATTCTAACAGTCAACGGGTTTATTATCTAGTTTGCCTTACCCTAAACAACTGCTGCAAAACAAAACCAGCACCAACCACAAGTCATTCTTCTGTGTGGCGGTCCGGCAGCACACTCACAAGGGTGGGATCAAGTTGTATAGCCACGTTGTCCAGACTACCGTATATAAGAATTTCTACAACCACAGCAGCCTTCGCCGCCGATGTTGGTGATGGAACCACAACACAACTGATATTTGAACCAAACTGAAATAATTATAATAATAAAAGATTGCTTTCTTCTTCTCATGGCTGCTTTGGAGTAAAACACTTGTTGCTAGTTTGATTAAAAAAAAAAAAGACTTGTTGCTACCGCCTATAAAATTATATACTAGCTACATAACTGCACTAATCATCAGGAACATATATACATCACTTCTCTAATCAACACTCTAGAAATCCGATCCAACGGGAAAAGGTAACTAAAAAACTTAACCATGTTGACTTTCTTACTGAAAATAAATATTTTGAACACACACAAAACCTCCTTATATGCAACAATGAACAACACTCAAAGTGTTTGCTTGCCATCTTCATCCATGGTAGAGACTGGCATTTTCCATAACTTGGAGTTCTTCTTCGGGTCATCGGTAAGACTGAGATATGTATCGTCTTCTTTGAATGTTCTAATGAATTTTTTAGCACCCATCATGATAAGCCTTTCAACCATGAACAATTGGTAGTTATTTCCAATCACGGGATCCAAAATGTGGCTATAGTTTGATGAGTAAGCCAATTTGTATCTGCACATAGGGGTCAGAAATAAGAATCAAGGTCAGATGCGATTTTGTATGATAACTTTAATCCCGAGAACAGTTCTTTAGAGCCAGAAAGGACCGTTTTGATGCACAGGTATAATGACTGTCAATTCACAAAGCAGTTTACCCCACTCGAAATGAAAATATATTAACATACAAATAATACCTCTGCTCCTTCATAATATAGAAATGTAAACACATGAAAATTCAGTTTCCATTGTAAAACTTGAACCAGCGTTGGAAGCTCCCAGTTAAGAAATAATAACAGGAGGAGCATATTACAGTAGTTCAATAATCAATCATAGTGACATGTGAAAGATTCTCTCATTAATATTCAGAACTCCAGTATCAAATAATTTAAGCTCATAAAATTTATCTTTTGTCCCAACTACTATAGTATCAACCAATTGAAAAGTTCTTAGGTGAAAGAAAAATAAAAAGTAATTTGAATCCTGGACATTTTCTGTCAATGTTATCCTAGACATTTTCTACCAATGGTAATCCTGAGCTTAAATTTCATACCCAACCAAGAAGTCCTCAGGGATTATTAGGTTAAAGTGTAACTTGCTAGAAGAAAAAACACGAAAGAATGAGAGAGCAACCTTTAACAAAACATGCACGGAAATTTGTTGGTTGTAGCACGTAAACACACAGATTTTCATCTTTAAAGTAGATGGTCCAGAGAACATGAGAAGGATTTACCTGACTGAGAGAGGTGAAAAAAATCCTGGCGTCCTTTCATTTGAAGCAATAAAAAGAGTTCGTCCAGGTGGGACCCATTTTTCAATTCTGTGGAGAATAAACTCTGGGCGTGTATCCCTGTCCAGATGAGGATGCAGGGTCCTGTCAACACCAAACCTGTCCTTCCTGGTCTTAATTTTATCGCCACGACGAACATGAATTGCATCATAATCACCAAGGAGTGCCTTAACCTGTGAAAATAGTTTGATCAAAGTCTGTAGTGGCACTGACATGTACAGGAAATAATTCAAGGGCAAAACGTAGAAACAGAAGGACCTATGGTAATTTGAGGAAACAGTTACATAGAAACATAAAATTCTTTCTTAAAAATCAAAATGCTATAACGAACTTATTATCTACTACATACTACAAACTTAAGCAAAATAGAATCATAAAGAATTAAAATGCAGACCCATATATCAGGAATATTGTGCCTCCTAGCTATTTATAATTATATTCCATGATGTTGACCACAACCACTACTACCACCAACACATACTGTAAATTATTTTTTATGCAATTGTAATTTTTTTTTTAGGGAGGGGTGGGGGGAAGTGTTACATGGTAAATCACATGTCCTGTTCAGCTATTTAGCAGTTACGTTATGTGCATCCTGGTCTCTAATTACTCAAAACATGTGTGTCTCTCATACAATTCAAATTTACCATCATTATCATATGATATAAGTGTTACTAAACTTGAAATAATTTCCAACTCTTAATTGTATTACCGTGATCCTTGATAAGTTACTGTGGTCTTTAATATTATGAATCATTCGACAACCATAATTGAAACAGATTCTTTGTTTTTTCCTTCCTTCTAACATGCACAGAAAGAGGAGTGCTAAGATATTATTATTCATCAAAATTAATTTTGCTTTAAAATATAATCAATTATAACTTAATCCATTTCAAGTTCCCAAAATCTTACAAAAAAAGATACTCGATATCTGGCGAAGATTAACCTAAATGAATAGAGCAATAAAGTTGAGGTAAAATTCCACAATGCAAGTTGGTGGGTACAAGTAGTCAGATAAATCAACAATTCAAGCAGCAATCAAACATCTTACAAGTAGCCACTAGAAATTGTGAATGCTAGTTCACAATCATAGTCTAAACAGAACCTACAAACTTAAGTGACTAGAGAGTGATAGATATTGATGTGTTTCCCAGCAACAATTCCAACTTTAGTTACAATGCTGATTGACAGGCTGAAAAAATTCAGTAACCAAATTCCTGGAAGCTTTAGTTACAATGAATATAACTCAGAATCATGTTGCAGAATAAGAAAACAGAAGAAAAAGCATTTGTTTGGAAGCTTAATGTAATTGTATCAAATATGGAAATAAAACTTCATGGGATTCATATAATACATACCTTGTCAGCTACATTCCTTAAGTTCTTTGCTGCCATTGAGGGGAGAAAGGAGTATGGCAAAAGTATAGCACTACGGTCATTTCGATCCTTGCACTCCATAAACCTAAATGGCTATCATTATGAATTCCTCAAACAACCAAGATTGAAGTTCAAGTAATACTCACGTAACAAAGCCAAATGAAACGTATTTTAGTTTTCTGAACAAAGTACAACAAACGCAATCCAAATAATGGAGTCTTTCAAGAAATATAAGTGATTATTGAAATAAATAAATAAACACACATCAAACATCCTTATCAGGGCCATTGCAACAGGTTCATTTATAGTTTCAGAAAATATCTAAAGCACTGAAATACGCAAACTGTATTTGAAGGTCTGTCTTGCATTAACTAAAAACCACATTTAACTTTTCTTATTAACAAAATGCAAGCACAACTTTTATCTCAAGTCAAGCGACAGCAGCATCATCATTCAAACAAACAAGCAGAGGTTTTGTTCCCTCAAGAAAATCTTAAAGCTTCCAGCAATAAATGAAGAAAAAAAAAGTTACCATGACAGAGGGCTTGCAGTTCTGTTTATCAGCAAAAGATTTGAGAAACGACTGTTCTCTTTGAGATCAACACGACTAACTCTTTCCACATGAGCAACTCCTCTAGCTCCCAACTTCATACTTGTTGTGAGCACCTGATACCACAGTTTTGAATTGTCTAAAATTACTGGTACAGTGTCCGATATGAGGTCCATATCATACAAAGAGTCCATGGAACAATACTCTGCTGCCCACCTAACAAGTAAAAGGAAGCCAGTTCACATTGTATGCTATGTGCACTGTGATTAATAAAAATGTATTTACAAACACTATGGAGGGAAAGTACACATCTAAACCTATCACGTCTCAAAATTATATTTCTGAGGAGATTACAAACTTGAAACAGGAAATTAACGCCATTTTAGCAAAAGTAGCAGTGGAAATCTTCAAATTCTGATTTGCCATATTTGAGCGACGAAGGATCCCTTTCTTATTGTGTATTGGGTTGATACACATTCTGGAAGGCATTACAAAGGTTCTGCAAACAACAGCAGTAAAATACTACACAAGATTACAAAGGTACTCAACAGATATGAACCAGGTGGTGAAGTTCATGGAAATTGGGTGAGTAGCTCTGTACAAACTATGATGAACTTATTCCAAATTTATGAAGCAAACCTAGACATATGATGCAAAATCCTATTCATAGCCCATTAAACTAATCCTTATCATAATAGAGCCAAATTTCCACAACTCTCGGTTTTCCCACATTTTTCTCAGCAACCACACAGAGCATAAACTCCAAAAACAGAAATAAAAACAAAAGGACAAAACAAAAAGAAATCTAATAATCCAAAACATGACATGAAATACCTCTTAAGGAACATGGCCTCTTCAAGAGCACACCGGAGGCTGGACTCCTGGTGGCCCAGACCTTCACAGGATTCGCAGTGCTTTCCAGGGCAATCAATTCTGTTACCCCAGTAGAGGAACTTCTCATGGCCATTCTGGTCATTCTGGCCATTGTTCTCTGACTTGGTCACACTTTCTAGGGATTTTGGAGAGGATACAGAGTTTGTGGAAATGAGAGAGGCAAAGAAGAAGAGGAGCGCAATCGCAGCTATGCAGAAGGCAGGGAAGATGATTGAGGAACTGGGTCCAGACTTGGACTTTAGGGTTCTGTGAAATGCCATTAGAGTTGGACAGGTGCGGAGCCAGGATTGTTTGTTTGCCTGGACTAAACCTCTAAACAGAATATAATTTGTTCTTTTTCAAATTTCAAGAATAGAGGGGAAAATAATCTGTGAAATGCAAACTATACAACTATTCCCTGTGAGTTTACGAGTCATCAGCTCCCTTTCCCACACTAAGGACAATTGCAAATGTAGCAAGACGAGAGGGGAAAATAATGCACTGATGAATATACAGGTATGCGGAGGTGGATAAAGCATAAGTGCCAGAACTCTAAATGAAATGAAAAAAGGGTTGTTCACAGAATATGTGCAAGCAATGTATCCTGGTTTCTCTTGATAGTCTATCCTGGAAAAAAAGTAAAAAATCATCTCAACATACCAGGGGGCAGCAGCAAGGAAGAAACCAACAATAAACCTTTAAAAAAGTAGAAATCTTTTTTAAGTTTGCACAATACAAAGACCAATTTGCTCAATAAAATTAAGAATTTATCTATTCATGTTGTATTAAGCACCTAGTAATCAGATGGGGATTAATTAGTTAGTTCAGAATGGGGATTAGTTGGTTAGCTTAAAAAGTTAGTTCATTTAGTAGGGTGTTGATCAACAAATACATGTCATTCTGTAATTAAATGAATAAAAAAGTCAGTTCTGATTTTGTTTCATACTAACTCTTTGTTACGATCTTGGAAGGTAGAGGTTCAACCATGCTGTCAATTTCAAGTCAGATTTCATGGTGTGCAAATTTTACAACATTATAAAGCCTTGATCAACCTGTACAATGTCTTGACTAAAGATTTCCATTACTAAGTATCATCCTACCCACGAGCGGAAGCAGGGCACAGTTAGGCTGGGCCAGTGCAGGATTATGAAAAATAAAAAATTGAGTGCTAATTTTTAGGAAGCTCGTCCATCCTAGCAAAAACAACCCCACCCTACTGCAACAAAACTTAGCCTACCCTCTCGAGCTCCCTAAGACACAAGTCCCTCCGTTTGAGTCCCGGGCAACCCCTTACAATTAGCATATGGAAATCGTGTGTATATAAATCCAAATTTTTTAATTCATTTCACATGATAGATGAAAAACAGAAAGTTATAGCCCATGTCTATGAAAATTCATGTTTCGGCTCTCGACCCTACCATGCTAGATGAATTAGAACCTTCCTTTTTTCCCCCGGGACCATTTAGAAATTTTGTATTCAAGGACATAAAAACCAAACGCACTGTAAATAACAACAGGATAAATGCCTATGTCTATCAATTTGTGCAAGGAAGGCCACACTTCCCTACCCGTCTTACAGTAAATTGACGTTTTTGTAATTTGCGTAATGTGAATAAGATTAAATCTGATATGTCAATCCAAAATCTAACAATATCCTGAGCTACATTGTCAATGTCATCTTAAGCAGAAATGAAAATACAAATATGTCCAAACAATTTGAAAAAATAAAAAAACAGATTCAAACGGAAATATGAATCTAAACTTATTTCCACCACAAAATTTGATCCAAGCAAATTTTTTTTTATTTCTCAACCCTCTGTGCAGGAATTCTGTTGAAATTTAGAACAAGAAATACCTTTGGAATTGCCGAACTTGGAAGTGTGGCACTGTGGGAGTGATGAGAGAGAGTGACGGTGAAAGGAAAGATCAAAAAGAAGAAGGGGGAAGGAAAGGCTGCTCGTCATGGGTTGGGCTGACCGACCCGCTAGGCGTGGGTGTCTTACCAAAATTCTTAAATTTGTGCATGGGTGTCCATAGTAACAGGCCCAAAGGTTAAAAAGGCACGAGCTTTCGTTCATTCAGTTATGAAAAGGCTCAAGCTTTCATGGCTGATATTTTTTTTGTTTTTGGTAACATTTCATGGCTGATATTTGCTTCTTCTCTCTCAAGTTTTTTTCTCTAGCCAAGTATTACATCTGAAAGTCGACTCAAAAGTCAAACATTTTTCAGCTTGAAGCCTTCATCTGTCCAGTCTCCTCCTCCTCCTGTAATTTACAAACCCAACCCATCATCCTCAACGGTCAATTAAACCCAAGAAATTTGAAAATCAAGCATGGCAGACTGTGTCCGTGAGATCTTTGTGGTTTCAGCAGCTGGGCAGGGCCATCTTCAGCCTTGCACGCAGCTCTGCAACCACCTGAACTCCCGAAATTACCAAACTACCCTCGTCGTTCCTTCCTCTGTCGCCATCCCCTCCTCCTCTTTCACCCGCCAAAACCCGCTCGCCAAAATCCTCCATCTCACAGCTTCCCCGGGCCTACCCAGACCCAGACTCGACCCGCTCCACCACAAAGCAGCACAAGAGCTCCACGACCACCTCGCCGACATTTCCATCATTCCCGATATGCCCCTTCCTCTCTGCGCCATCGTAGACTTTCAAATGGGCTGGACCAAGGAGGTCTTCTGGAAATTCCACGTCCCAGTGATCGGATTCTTCACATTCGGCTCGTGCGCCGCCGCCATGGAGTGGGGCGCGTGGAATGTCCGAGCAGGAGACATCCGACCCGACGAGCTCCGCCTAATTCCCGGCCTACCCGATCACATGGCTCTCACGATTTCCGACATTAAAAGAAGGCCAGCCGGTCCGCCACGTGGCCATGCGAACCGGCCACCAGGCGGAGGAAGAGAGGGTGGTCCGCCTAAACCGGGAGACCGGCCTCCGTGGGTCCCAGAGATAGAAGGCTCCGTCGTTCTGATGTTCAACACCTGTGACTTCCTGGAACGTCCGTTCATCGAGTACATGAAAACCCAGATGGGGGTGCCAGTATGGGGCGTGGGCCCACTCTTGCCGGAAACGTACTGGAAGCCGTCGGATTCACTGCTCCTCCCTGACCGCCCGATGAAACCACACCACTGCCGGCAATCAAACTACACTGAAGAAGACGTCGCACGTTGGCTGGACTCAAAGCCCCACGGGTCCGTGTTATACGTGGCATTCGGCAGCGAAGTGGGCCCCACAGTAGAAGAGTATCCCCATCTGGCCAGTGCATTGGAGGAGTCGACCCGGCCGTTCATCTGGGTCATCCAATCCGGGTCGGGTGACGGGTACTACCCAGAAGGGTTGAACAGCAAAGCGGGTGAGAGGTGTTTGATAATATGTGGATGGGCACCACAAGTGTTGATACTGAGCCATAAATCAACAGGTGGGTTCTTATCACACTGTGGGTGGAATTCAACAGTGGAAGCCATTGGCCGTGGGGTGCCCATTTTGGGGTGGCCCATTAGGGGTGACCAGTTTTACAATGCCAAGTTGGTGGCAAAGCATCTCAAGGTTGGCTATGGAGTTTGTGAAGATTTTACAGAAATGGTTAAGAAAGAAGACATAGTGGAAGGGATAGAGAGGTTGATGGGTGATGAAGTGGTGAAGAGACAGGCCATGGAGATAGGGAAGAGGTTGGAGGACGGGTTTCCGGCGAGCTCCGTGGCTGCATTGGATGTTTTTGTGGATTTTATTAGGCCAAAAACCAGCTCAGAAGTTTACAGAATAGTTTGATGGGTCAAGTATGGTTTTTGAAGCCTTGGAAGTTTTGATGGGGTCGTAGTATTTACTGAATCACTCATCAAAAGCTTGGAGCTTGGAGCTTCAGAGTCTCAGAAAAAGAATGAAAATTCTTGCAGGTATACAACGGTTGGATTGCATGACAATTGTTCTTGCGTATACTCTGTTATACACAAGCCCTTGTATTCATTGTGTCATTTTAATATTAAACATTTGGTTACATTCAAATTGCTACTTTCCATATTTCATCGTACCTCCAGAGTATCATGGTTCATAGGCAGGTAAGTGTTCAACTTCAAGCATTGAATTCATTTCTTTATGGCGTATGCATGTCGATTGTCGAAAGCCAACTAAGCTTAACCATGGTTCTTACATTCTTCCTTTAATAACGTATGCTTGTGATTTGTGTTTCTGCAGCATCTATTAATGCACCAACCCATCTGTGAATCCAATTCCCTGCTTCCTTTTCGTTGTTATAGGAAATAAATGAGTATACTAGTTGAAACTTATGGGTTAGCTGTTTACCTTCTTCACCTTTAGCTAGCTCGTGCGCATTTGAGACAAGAAGCTTCCTGTCAGTTTAAGAGTCCAAAGATGATGGTTTACTATTTGTATCAATTTAAGAGTATGTGAGTGCTTAACTCCATAAAGAGATCAGTGATCTAGGAACTTTATAATTGGTGTACTCTTATTTGTAAGAAGTTGGAACTTCTCCAGTGAGCTGTTTCTCTCAAATTTAGAGATATTGGTATACAGTTTTTCCTTCTTAATGTATAAGTGTATCTCAGTGATTATGATGACACTACAACGAGACTCGAACACACACAAAATTATTGTGTTGCTTTGACCAACAAGACTATAGTTGAGCTGGTCAGGCCTGTGCTTTTATCCCGCATGGTATTGGGTTCGATTCCGCGGGATGCCTATGTAGCTATTTACTAGAGTTTTCTGCCTCCTAAAGATTGCAAGGTTCGACGGAGGTTTCAGTTGCGAATCCGAGTCTGCGAAGCAGGTTTATGGTGAACTTCCGGGTATGCTTCACACAAATATAAATATGAAATATTCGCCGGCAAACATGAAGATGATGATAAATGGATTTGGTTAGGGTTGACTAGTATTAAATAGGAACATTAAATGATATGAACACAACTTATTAACATGAAGTGCCACCTCTACCGTAAACTTTATCAACATTGAGAAATCGTCAATCTGGCGGTAGGGGGGCAGTTGCCCTTCCTTCAGGTCAAGAATCTCTAACGATGTATCATGTTAGTCGTGTATGCTGCATTAATAGATGTCATGAAAAGCAAAAGTAAAATGGGATGGTTTTGGTTTGTGATTTGGATATAACGTTACACAATTCGAATACTACCTAAATATTTGGATTTGTTGTAAAATAGGCAGAGTATGAAAGTACTACTGAATATTAGGGTGGAATTGTATTTGCTCTTGTGGTTTTACACTAGTATAATTCTCTCTCAGATAAAGCTTTTTAACTCTCAGATTTCTCTCTCTTTTCTCGTTGGATTGGTGTGTCTCAAAGCCCAAAGATTGCCTCTATTATAGGCAGATGATATATATATTTCAGAATTAGAGCATTCACTCCACAACATTAACTCATAATTGCTTCTTACTATTTGTAAATTGTGACTAAGCCTATAAGTCTTCAACCTTTCGTAAAACATGGAATTCCACTCAATGTTGCTTCTCACTTTCAACATGTGGGCCATCCTTCATTTACAATTCCACTCAATGTTGCTTCTCACTTTCAACATGTGGGCCATCCTTCATTTACAATACTCCCCTTTTAATGAGGCAACCAATCAAGGGAACTTGTGGGGATCCAAGAGCAAATTCTATCAATGTAAAACTACAAGTGCAAATACAACTCTGCCTATTTTACAGCAGGATTGTATTTATAATCTGATAATTTATTTGGTATTGTATCACCGATTTCAAATTCTAAATTGTTTACTTTGCAGTGAAGACAAAACACAAAAAAAAAACAGAACAAATGCAGTAAAAATATAAAAGTAGACATCAGTCAAGAGAGCAGGTAGGAGACTGAGATGGCAACTAGACATCAGTTAAGAGAGCAGGTAGGAGACTGAGATGGCAGCTAGACATCAGTCAAGAGAGCAGGTAGGAGACTGAGATGGCAACCAAACAACAACAAAATAATTTTAGAAAAAGCAAAACAGTAGCATTGCGGCTAAAAATCCAATCAAAACTGACTGTATAAAAGTCCAATCAAACGGTGAAAAAAGATTGATGAAAAATAAAAAAAAACCCTTGTACTGCTGCTGAGAGCCTACAAGGAGAACAGGAAGCACCGTCATTATGTGGGAGAAAATAATGCAAGAGTGGAAAGTTTCATTTTACTCTTGCACCCTCATTGTGTTACAAAGTTTTCTCCTGACCTTCTTCTGAACAGAGGGCATTTTGTGGATTTCTAAAAATTTTACGTGAATTCCTCTTCAAAGTTGGAATCATAGCACTAGTGTTTGGTGGCTTGGTGGGACAATGAACTTTATGACCGCTTTGCTCACTGTTCATCCATTCCCGCATTCTTCTTATCTTTACTCTTTTGGGGCATCTCCATTTTCGCATGGTAGCTTGCCTCTCTCACAATTTTGTAAGCTGATCATCTTCATTCCTTCATTGCTGCATCAATGGCTGCTGCATTAAACACCATGCTGCATGATGCTTCTTCTTCGTCCTCTTACCGGTGTAGCTATCATGCATTCTTGAGTTTCAGAGGCGAAGATACTCGCAAGGGCTTCACTGATCACCTTTATAGGGCTTTGGAGCTGGCAGGAATCCACACGTTTAGAGACGATGATGAAATCGAGAGAGGAGCAGATATTGCAGCAGAGTTGAACAAAGCAATAAATGAGTCGAAAGTATCGATAATCGTCTTCTCCCAAAACTATGCTTCCTCAAGGTGGTGCTTGGACGAACTGGTGAAGATAATGGAACGTAGAAAACATGATGATGGCCATATTGTTATGCCGGTTTTCTATCATGTGGATCCATCCCATGTCAGGAACCAGAGAGGGAGCTTTGCAGAAGCATTTTCTAGACATGAAGAGCGCTTCAAGGAGGAGATGAACAAGGTGGAGGAATGGAGAAGAGCGCTTAAAGATGCTGCAGATCTGGCAGGGATGGCTTTAAAAGATAGGTAAAATTTATTCCCAAAAGTTTCTCACTACTGTACATGGACTTTAATTTGAAGGTATTAGCTTTTTCATTAATTTTGACATGTTTTGAAGATTAATTGGGGTAGTGAAGCACTTTTATGAGGAATATTTTTGTTTAAAAAAAATATCCTATACTCAATTGGCATTAGGACGAGGCTTTCGTATGTTCATTTCAGCTAATGATATATTATCAAATTAATGCACTCGATCTTTGAGGACAAATTAATAAACATGATCTTATTTTGCTTTCTATACTTTGATATGATCGAAAATTCATAGGTATGAGTCGCAGTTTATCCAAGACATTGTTAAAGAGATTGGAAATAAGCTGGATCCGAAGGTATTGAATGTTGCTCCCTATGCTGTTGGAATAGATGATCGTGTGCAAGGCATAAACATGTGGTTAGAAGATGGATCAAATGCTGTTGGTGTAGCTGTGATCTATGGGATGGGAGGAATTGGAAAGACCACCATTGCCAAAGCAGCTTATAACCGCAACTTTGGAAGATTTCAAGGCAGCAGCTTTCTTGCAGATATTAGAGAAGCTGCAGAACAGCCCAATGGTTTTGTTCGCTTGCAAAGGAAACTTCTTTCGGATATCCAAAAGGGGAAAGCAAAGAAAATAGACAACATAGATGAAGGAATAATCAAGATCAAACACGCTGTATCTAACAAAAGACTTCTTATTGTTCTCGATGATGTGAACGACTTGGATCAATTTAATGCAATTCTTGGAATGAGAGAATGGTTTTATTCAGGAAGTAAAATTATCATAACAACCAGACATGAACATTTGTTAAAAGCTCATGAAGGTTGCACAAAGTTTGAGGTTGAAGAATTGAATGAGTATGAATCACTTGAGCTTTTCAGTTGGCATGCCTTCGGACAACCCCAGCCTATCGAAGGCTACACAGAACTTTCGAGACCTGCAGTAGAACATTGTGGAGGGATTCCATTAGCTCTTCAAGTTCTGGGATCTTCTTTATCCGGGAAAGAAGTAGCCGTATGGCGTAGCGCATTACAGAAGTTATGTGAAATTCCTAATGTCAAGATTCAAAAAATTCTTAGAATAAGCTATGATTCTCTGCAAGATGATCATGACCAAAATATATTCCTCCATATAGCCTATTTCTTCATTGGAAAGGAGAAGGATTTTACAATTACAATACTGGACAACCTTAATTTTTACACAAGGATTGGAATTCAAAATCTAGTTGACAGATGTCTAGTAAAAATTAACAATGAAGACAACAGGTTGAACATGCATCACTTACTTAGAGACATGGGGAGGGGAATTGTTCGCGAAGAATCACCTCACCAGGGAAGACGTAGTAGAGTGTGGCATAAAGATGCCTTTAATATTCTGAGAAACATGACCGTAAGAACAACATTTCCTTTATTTCCTTTATTTTTATGTGTTGTGTGTCTTGTTACTTATTGAATGTTCTGATATTTTTAATAGGGTACAGAAATTATTAAGGGCCTAATGCTCAACCTTCCTAAGTTGATGGAAGATGAGTCTTGCAAGACATTGTTTAGTAGAAGTAACAAAAAACGATCTCATGTTGAAGATTATGATGGAAGTTTTTCAAGACGTCGTCGACTTGATTTCTTCTCTTGGAAATCCATTGCAAGTAACTTTTCCTCAACAAAATCAGCTCCTGCATCAAATGAGGTGGACTTCAAAACAGAGGCATTTACAAGGATGAACAATCTTGAGCTTCTCCAGCTATATAATGTAAAAACCAGCGGAGGTTTTGAAGATTTTCCCAAAAACTTGGCATGGTTGTCTTGGCGAGGATTTCCTTTGAAATCACTACCATCCAATTTTTGTTTGGAAAATCTAGTTGTTCTTGACTTGCGGAATAGCAATCTGCAACATGTTTGGAAGGGACACAGGGTATTGTATTAATCTCTCTCTCTCTCTCTCTCTCTCTCTCTCTCTCTCTCTCTCTCTCTCTCTCTCTCACACACACACACACACACACACACAAATTTATGGGTCATTACATATTTTAGAAGCTTGGTATATTCATTTGCTTACTTCTCTTTGAAACAGTTTCTTCCAAGGCTGAAAACACTCAACCTCAGCCATTCACATAGCCTAACGACAACCCCTGACATGTCAGGCCTCCCTAAGCTTGAGAGATTAATTCTTAAAGATTGCATAAACTTGGTTGAGGTTAATGAGTCCATTGGAGACTTAGAGAACCTTGTTCACTTGAACCTAAGAGACTGCAAAAATCTGATGAAGCTTCCGGCAAGTATTAGAAGTTTGGGATCTCTTCAGGACCTCATTCTTTCGGGTTGCTCAAAACTTGAGCTTCATTCCAACACAAATGCAACAAATCAGGTAGACTCCACGGTTGGTGCTATGAAGAAATTCAATCTGTTATCAACTAAGTTATGGCAATCGATCGAGTCGTGGATATTGCCAAGAAAAAATCTTGTATCTTTCTCATTGGCAAGTTTACCACATTCATTAGAAAGGCTAAGTCTTGCTCACTGCAATGTAGCAGAGATTCCAAGTGAACTTGGTGCCCTATCGTCATTGAAGCATTTGGATCTATCTGCAACCCCAATTCTGAACCTACCAGGAAACATGAAGGGTCTTATTATGCTCCAGACTCTGTTGGTAGAAGGTTGCGCAAAGCTCCAAGCGCTTCCAGAGCTCCCAGCCAGTTTAAACTCACTGGAAGCAGGTCATTGCACATCATTGAAAAAAGTAACAAATTTACCAAACATTTTCACGTCAATGAGTAAAAATCTTTGGGATTGCAATGAATTAGTTGAAGTAGAAAGCTTGTTCGAAATGAAACCATTGAGAAATGCTGACATAGAAATGATTAAAAATTTGGGATTGTTCAATTTGGAATCCAACGAAGCCTCCGATGTCAAAATGATCAACTACTTGACAAATACAACCAAGAAGTGTCGCCTTCAGGTTCTCTCTGTCTCTCTCTGTCTCTCTCTCTCTGATTTATAGTTCTTATGGCTATCATTTCTATGGCCCAAGGGCTAGCTGTTCGAATAATTTGGAAACTAATTAGATTGTCATCCTTAGAGAATATGTTTTATGTTCGTAGGTTAGTAATGTAAAAATATTAAAATTCAATCTAATACACGATTTTAACGATTGAACAATCTTCTCCAACATTGAAAACACGACTGCTAGCTTGTAATTGTTGTACATATATATATATATATATATATATATATTTACTTATGCATATATGATCTGCATGGAACAGGGATTGAACGAATGCGGCATATTTAGCACCTTCCTTCCTGGGAACAAGATTCCAGATTGGTTCAGCTACAAGAGCTTGTGTAACTCCGTGTTGTCGATTGTTGTACCTTCACATCTTAATCTCAAGATCCGAGGCTTAAACGCATGCGTTTTATACGCACGACGCCCCGATCACAAGGATGGTCCACATGTTTTCAGTGAACACTTTGTTAAAGTGAGCAATGAGACCAAGGGTCTTATGTGGACGTACTCCCCTGTGGCAATGGGCCTTCCCAGAGAAAACCAAGACATGTTATGGCTAAGCCACTGGGTTTTCGGGGACAATGAACTGGAAAGCGGGGATGAAATACGCATTTCAGTCAAGTCCGGTTTGTGGGCAAAGGAGTTCGGGATCCAACTTGTGCATGAAGAAGAAAATAAGGGCGAGGATGCTGGATCAAAAAGTGAAGGTATAATAACACTTCCTTGGAACCAGAATGTTGATGTGCCAGTCTCAGTTTCAGCATCAATGTATGAGATGTGGAGGGGCAAATACTTTCTATGCAACCACAGGTATCGAACTCATCAAGCTCAATTCAGAAGGTGCCAGGAGAATCCAGCTTATGGTGATTTTTCATACAAGCCAGGGGCCTCCTTTCATTTGAACCGTTACTTGTTTAACCACGAGGTTGATATACAAGAGACCCAAATGCAGTTTGTTAGAAAATAATTGACTAATTAAACCTAGGCCTTTGGCAAATAATTAATAAGCTAGATCAGTTGAATCGATATCAGACACGACAGCAAAAAACATTTGCCTCGGAAATGGATATGTAAGTATGTTCTGGAGAAGCTTTAGTTCAAGTTATTTGCTGGTCTTAAATCTTCCTCGGAAATGGATCCCCAGCCTCTACATTTAGTTCTCATGTATTTACCCGCATTTTATAATATTTAAATCATTCAAATAATCTAACCGTTTAAGATATGACACATGGCATGTGAGTAAACTGTTAAAATTAATTAAAAATATTAAGGTTCAATTTAAAATTAAAAGAATATAAAATCACAAAATTCAAATTGAAAACCAACTCCCCCTCCCCACCACTACCCACACCAACACTGCCCAAGCCACCATACAAGCTGCCATTTTTTGGGCCAAGCCTAACCCTGAGAAACTACAAATCTATCCCCCCTCGAACCATGATAGAAGCAGGGTGTCAATACAAATCAAAATACTATAAGTTATGTTTTTATTGGTCAATTGAGTACGCTGAGAAGGGCGGTGAGGGGAGAGGTTGATTACTGAAATAATATACCAATCCATTTTGATCTTTCATATAACACTTTAGGTTATAAGTGGATCGATTAGTTTTAATTTGTATGTGTTCTTACTAGCCCCCTTTCCCCACCCTCCCCTACCTCACCCACCAACTTTCGTGGAGAAGGGTGTGGTTTTTTAGTTTATGTATTTGTTAATTTAAATACTTACATCGGTGATGTGTCATGTCTTAAATGGTTAGATTATTTAAATGGTCATTATGAAATGCAGGTAAATGTACGAGAGCTAAATGTAGAGACTCACGATCCATGCCTAAACTAGCTTAACTGATTCGACCAAAAAAAAGAAGCTTAACATGTCAAGGAAAGTGTGGGTACAGTACAACACAGACAAAATGAAGTTTATGTCAATTTCAACACACAATTGTTTTGAGTAGTTTTTTATTTGTTATATTATACTAGCCTCTCCGCACACGCTTTCGTGCCTATGAGGGGCTTTTTAAAAATATATATATATTTCAGAATTAAAAAAGATAATGGGTAGTTGTTTTCCATATAAATATGATTCATTATCTGATTTTTCTTTTAATTTTAATTTTAATTTTTTTAACATGAAAAAGTTTGAATTTATCATATTTTCCTCATTTAATTAATAATTTTAATTAATGTTTGGATTAACCAACGATATTTTCTGGTATTTTAAATGTTTTACTATTCTCTGCCTTTTGCTTTATATATATAGATTATATGTTTAGTAACTAAAAATAAATACATTATTTATCAGGTCGGGTTTAGGGATGAGGATAACAATATCATCCCCGATCCATCTCCGAGAAGGTATTTTGAAAAGTCGGGGATCCCCAAAACCGTCCCCGTTTTCCCCCAAAATCTCCCCCCGTTAGGGGCAGGGGCCTGATGGGAACCCAACCCGACTTGAATTTTTGTCATCCCTATGATGGGAGGCCAAGTGGAACACAAAACTACGGTGAAAGGGGTTGAGTGGGGTCATTTTAACTTTGGGCGATAAAGTGAGATTTGATCGAAGTTTCAAGGGTGCTACAGTAAATAAGCCTAGAATAAAAAAGGAAACTTATATAAAGGCTTGTAACTCAAATGGCTAAAAGCTTTTATTCTTATATTTGAGGTCTTAGGTTCGATTTCCCCCTTCCCATTCTCTTGCTTGTAAAAATTAAAAAACGAAAAAGAAAAAAAGAACTGAAATGAGAGGCCCAAAATAACATACCCAGCCCACCCGACGCATAACCCTGCACGCATAACCGCCCTTCACGCACCCGTGAAAGAAAAAAGAAGAACGAGCTCGCTGCTGAAGTCACCTTCAAGGCTTAATTCAAACGATTCAAGCTCCTATATTCGTGAGGTAATCTTCTTTTCATCTCTCAATTTTTTGATGTTAAAAGTAGGGGATTATTTTTTGGGTTTATGAAGTATCAATTAGGGATTTGCAATTGAGACTTATGAATTCTCAAATAGGATTTGCAATTGATTTTGGTGTTCTTGCTTATATGAATTATCAAATTGGGATTTTGATGAATTGATTAGTTGCTGACATGCCGTTTTGCTGGTTCAAGATGTGATAAAGGCCTAGTTTCTGATTTAAAATTAATGACATTTCCTGGATTTTGAAGTCAGGTTAGTTTTTGTAATGGTTCGAATTTTTTTGGTTCATGTCTCATAATTGTAGCTGGTAATTGGGCTCTTTTGTGTGGGTTTTAATTCTTACTTTGTTAAACGTGGAAGAATAGGGGAAGAGAGCTGAGTATAAACAATTTTTCTTTCGTTTTTGAAAGAAGCATGCCAGGGAAAGAGGGTGCAAAGAAAACTAATTTTCACGGAGAAAAATGTGGTGGTGGGTGGAAATGTTATATGTTGCTATAATAAATGTCTCACGAAGTCCTTTTGGATGGATTTGTACGCTTGCTTTTCATCAAAGAAAAGGTTCTTGTCTCCTTATGGCTGCAGGAGTTAATTTAATTGTAATAAACTAGTTAATTTTCACTTTACTCTGATTTTTTGGGGTATTTGTCTTGATTATGGTCTATTATATAAAGTCTTTGTACAATTTATGCACAAAGCGCCCTGTTGCAATTTCCAAGATATGGCCATTTGTAATTATTGTGCATCTACAACAAAAAGTTACCCTAATTTGGGAAGGTATTTATAGTCCTTTCAGATTCCATGTTTCTTATTTCTTTTGTTATTTGATAGATTGCTGCTGAAGGCGTATCTTATGGCCAGCACTGGTGGAAAAAAGGAGCTTGAATGGATAGAGAGAGTGAAATCAGAGGGAGCTGTTCCACTTCTTGATGCAGAAAATTGCCGAAATGGTTGGTCTTCTCCACCTGGGGACAAGTTTATGGTTAGAGGTCCTGAGTACTTGTCAAACAGGGTTAAAGTTCCTGCTGGTGAATACCTTCTAAAGCCTCTTGGTTTTGATTGGATAAGAGGTTCTACAAAAATTGGGGAGGTCTTAAAACATCCAAACAGTCGTGTGAGAAAGGCTATTGAGGACGAGTGTCTGACAGGTGATAAGCCTTTTGTTTGGGCTTTCAATCTACAAGTTCCTAGTAAGGATAATTATAGTGCTGTAGCATATTTTACAACCAAGGAGCCTATTCCTGAGGGGTCTTTGATGGACCGGTTCTTAAAAGGTGATGATGGGTTTAGGAATTCAAGGCTTAAATTGATTGCTAACATTGTGAAGGGTCCTTGGATTGTGAGGAAAGCAGTTGGGGAGCAGGCCATATGCATAATTGGGCGTGCCCTTTCTTGTAAATATTGTGTATCAGACAATTTCTTAGAAGTAGATGTGGATATTGGATCTTCCATGGTTGCAAGTGCAATAGTTCATCTGGCATTTGGTTATATAACAACGCTGACTGTTGACCTTGCCTTTCTCATTGAGGGCCAGACTGAATCAGAGCTTCCAGAACAAATCTTAGGTGCTGTAAGATTCTCTGAACTAGACCCTGCTGTGGCTAGGGCAACTGAACCATCTTCTAGTAGGAGTGCTGGCAGTTTGCAGTCTAATCTGCCTACGCGATTATGGAAGTCAATAGGGCAGGGGTTTTCCCACATGCTTCATCCAGGTACCCAAGAAAATGGTTCTAGCTTGGGCTCAGCACATGGTAATGGGATTGAGGTCTATGAAGGAAATTCAGAAGAACCTAAGAAATGGTAAGTTCTTCTGTCTAGCGGTCCCATTGAGATTTCTTTTTCCTTTTTCATTGTGAACAGTTTGATCTTTGGAAGAAAGGTAGTGGGAATGATTCCTTATGAATAATGAACTTGAACTTGTGTCGGATTCAGATATCAAAAACTAAATATTGTATTGTGCAAAACAAAAATACTAATGACATCATTTTATTTGCTTCCATGCATTATATATATATTTTTAACTCAGATGTATGATTTTGAATAGATATTCAATTTGTAATTTAGAGAAAAACATGGACATTGGTCCTCTGGATCTACCAGGCTCTCTTGCCAAATTGCAAACTGGGCCTGTCTGTTTTTTATATGTTGAGTAGTTGATGACAGGACGTGAAGAAACTTTCCTTTATTTTATTGTATTCAATTTTTCATGTCCCATTATGGTTAATCTTACACATCCTTATGCCGATCAAAAAATTATTAGCGCTCTTGATTGCTTTTATTTTTATGTACGTTCTGTTTTTTTTTCTTTCACATGAGTATATGTATCTGCTTCATTGATTGACCTATAAATTATATGAATACGTTATATCTGCAGAAAATCAAATGAAGTGTGATGACCATGAAACAAAGTGATTCAGAATTTTTTGAAGTGGCAAGAATCCAACTTTCTCTGTATTGACTGCTTCACTGGTGTCATCTGCTTGTCTCTGGGCTGTTGGGTATACCAATGATGCCAAGAGCTAGCTTTGCTACCCTGGTGTACTCTATGCCCTTGGGTGGGCACTGATGTCCAATTGGGAAGACATTCAGATTATCTTCCTCTTAATTTATATAGGTAAAACTCTTTTTTCTTTTATTTTATATTTAAACGAGTATATATATTACATAGTGGCCCTGTGTGTAGAAATCTTTTGTATAACTTGTTAGATTCCACTTCATTGAATTTCTGTAACGATTGAACGAAAGCAATTGGTGATTATGGGACCGTTTCTTCTTTTCTTTTCTTTTCTTTTCTTATTCGGAATTATCACAAGATGATGTGCCTTTATCTTTCCAATTATTTTGGCTGGAATACAATTTTTGTTAAAATTTCAGTTATTCTCAGCTCCTGTACCGTAGCAGCATCGTACGATTTGCAGCACTTTTTTTTCCTGATTCAAATGGTTCTAAGAGTTTTAAGATTTTCTATTTTAGTTGTGAGCAAAATGGATTCTATACGACAGCAAATGGAGTTCATCTAACAAATTTAGTCTAAATAGTGGTAGGAAAATTAGTTAAGATTAGGTTAAATCAATGTTCAAAATTCGAAATATAATGCATGCACATGAGGTTCTGTGTTGGATTCTTTCATTTTTCAATATCGCTTGTATTAGAAAAAAAAAGAAAAAAAAAATGAATATGAAAAATAATAAGTAACGCATGCAAACTGCAAATTACATTTTTTTGACTGGCACTCAAACAACGTACGTACCACCTTCTGAGCTGGATGGATATGTATGGAAGGAACGTTTTCATGATTTTTTATTTAAAAAGTTCTTTTATTTCTCTTCCGTTGTTGAAGCAAGCGCAAATGGCTTCAGTAAAGATTTCCTAATCAAAACTTACAGAAATCTTAGCTTTATCCAATTTCACCTCCTTGCTCAACTTTCCAAAAAACAAAAAAAGCTTTTAGAATTTTATAGAATCTATAAAACAGAATTTTCAATGGATGCTTTATTTTATTTTTTTCGAATACAAACGACTTTCAACTTTAATATAAAGATAAGGGATTCGGACTCAGCTGCAGAATCGGCTGTAGAGTGGGCATCACATTCACTTTTGCTCTCATATGCCATATTGGAATGTTACATTGGAGAATTCCATTACCAAGTAAGAGGTTGCAAGGTGGTCCATTTTAAGCCAATTTCGCAAATTAAAAAGGGTAAACTACGATAGGTATATAAGCTCCACACCAGTGTAGTAAGTATTCAATCGCTCTCTCCTTCTTTCCCTCTCTGTGATGGCTCGCAATCAGCCAAGAACAAGAACTGAATCGCTTTAAAGTTCAAAGCTCTCACCCAATCAACACCCTTCTATCAGGTTTGCTTCTTCTTCTCCGTACGCGTCTTAGGATTTCGTTTCTTTATCCACCATCGATGGATTCCCAAGAAGCTATTTTTCGACGTTCGCGTGTCTAATGAGGATGATGGTTTCGTCTGGTTTTGATGCTGGTGTAGGGTTTCAATCTTAGGTTTACTTATAGTTTTCTTTAGGAGAAACTGGAGGTTAAATTTGAAAAGAAATAAAATTCGTAATGTATTTAAGGGATTTAACATGGAAGGAAGGTTTCGCAAATCGAATTTGTCTCTTTCCGTGTGCTCGCCCATCTATTGGAATTTTGAAGCTTCTAGGGTTCATATGTGTGTATATATACTTATATATATATATGTGTATATATACATATATATATATGTATATATGAAGATTGGACGAAATGTTGAATTTGAGAATCTGGGGAATCAAATTAAGGGTTCTCTGCAGAAATTAGCATTTCTAGTCATTCAATTTCTTCGTGCTGCCTTAGAAATTCGAATTTTCATGGAATTGCTGATGGGACAGAGTATGGTTGATATCAAGGGTTTTGTTGGTATATAACGTTTCTGCTCGGGTGATGTCGGAAGCTGTGTCTCTGTGATTTTTCATTTTCTTCTATATTTGTGTTTATAGTATGGCCACTAAGGAAGTGAGAAGACCCACAATGAGACCAGAAAGTTCAGTTTATACTCGACCAGTAGGAGTATCTTCAAAAACTGTTTGCGCCTATTGGATTGCTGGAAGGTGCACTAAGAAGTTCTGTAGATTCTTGCACACAAGTGCACCATCTTCACTGGCGAACCCTCACATTTCAAAGCAGAAGGCTATTCAGAAGGGCAATGCATACAATGCTACTCAGAAAAGCAATGTTGTTCAGAAGTCCCCAGAAAAGGTCTGCAAGTTTTGGGTAGTAGGAAACTGTGTTGAAGGTGATCGATGCCCGTATTTGCATACATGGTTTCGTGGAGCTGGGTTCTCAATGTTGGTGAAGCTCCAAGGGCACAAGAAGGTACTTCTGATTTCAAAAATAAATGTCTTTAATTTGTTTTGTTCTCTGTTTTCTTTCCACAAGAAACTAGAAAAGTTGAAGAGGTTAAGAGGAAAGAATCATTTTGGCTATTACTTTCTGTATTTTATCCATGTTACTTTGTAATTTGTATTATTGTTGGTGATTTTGATTTTCAAAATTATAATTCACATGCTGCCAAACTCAGTTGTTTATAGAAGATAAAACTCACATAAAGGCAGTTTTCTTTTTTGTATATTGTGATCTCCTTCAAAATTTATGTTCTTTTTTTCACTTTTACAGAGAATAGATAATTCTATGTTGTTTTTGTTTATTTTATGATGAAATGTATTTTAACAGGCTGTCACTGGGATTGCACTTCCTGAAACATCTGACAAGCTTTATTCAGCCGGTACAGATGGAACAGCCAGAGTTTGGGACTGCCATACTGGTCAATGTGGCAGTGTGATTAATCTTGGTGGTGAAGCAGGTTCTTTAGTTAGTGATGGCCCATGGATTTTTGTTGGTGTACCAAATGTTGTTAAGGTACTTGAGCTTGTTCATTTTTAACTTCATTGTTGTACCAAATGTTGGTTCAATATACATGCTGATTGTTCGTGATGTTGCAGGCGTGGAACATTCAGACAAACGCTGAATTCAACCTGAATGGACCTGTTGGCCAAGTGCACGCCATGGTGGTTGCTAATGAAATGCTTTTTGCCGGGGCACAGGTAATGACCATAACAGTTCTGCAAGTTCCCATATTGCATCGCTGGGCTTTTACGATAATCTTCATCCATTTATTAATAGTGCCATATGTCATGAATTATCTGTTGCTTTTGTGCAGGATGGTGTTATATTGGTGTGGAAAGGTTGTTCTGAAAGTAATCCATTTCAGCTGGCTGGAACTCTGAAAGGCCACACTCAAGCTGTGGTATGTTTAACTGTTGGGCGCAGTAGGCTTTACTCAGGTTCTGTGGACCAAACAATCAGGGTAAGTTTGTGGCATCTACAAACAAGTTTATCGACTTCAACAGTATAGTGTTGGCATAGTGTTTGAAACTGAATGTGATGTTTTTTTCGAAAACTAAAATGAAAACATAATAAGAACGTTTCTGAACTTTAGTGTGTAATAGTTGATGATTTATTATGATCTTCAGGTGTGGGACCTTGATACTTTACAGTGTATTATGACACTAAATGGGCATTCTGATGTGGTGATGTCTCTTATTTGCTGGGATCAATTCCTGCTCTCATGTTCATTGGACTGCACAATAAAGGTGTGGGTTGCCACTGAAGGAGGCAACTTGGAAGTGACCTACACTCACAACGAAGAACATGTATGCTTTCCTTTCACAAAGCCTTTTCCACTTGTTATGTTTTGTAGTTACAGTATTATGGTTAGAATATAAGGCAGTCGGTGATTTCTAGTGGACTGGGAAAACATGTAGAACATCAATTTTGTGCCATTTAATTGCTTCTCAAAATTTTGTATTCTTATATAAGATGATGTTTCAAAATGTTTTTTCTTTAATAGGGGATCTGTAGAATAATTGATTTTCTGATCCGTTTATGTTTTAGATTTGAATGTACATTGTTTTCAGGGTAAAGGCTAACCTAATTTGATGGTGCTATTGTACATTCTACAGGGTGTTCTTGCACTTAGCGGAATGCCAGATGCAGAAGCTAAGCCAATCTTGTTTTGCTCATGCAATGACGCTTCTGTTCGCCTATATGAACTGCCATCGTGAGTACATGACACTCAGATTCTTTATGCTCTGATTCTTTTTATGATAAATTCCATTCTCACTTTATTGTGTGGTTATAGATTTACTGAGAGGGGCAGACTATTTGGCAAACGAGAAGTTCGGGCAATTCAGATAGGGCCCGGAGGACTATTTTTCAGTGGTGACACTAGTGGTCTCCTGTCTGTTTGGAAGTGGCTGGACCTTGACCTCAAGGAACTGTCTTCATGACTCATTTGTTCAGTTTGTAAGAGCCATTACCATGATGGCGAGGAGGCATTGATGCTACAATTGTAACCAATTTGTATGTAAACTTCGACAATCCTTCAGTTATTCAAACTAGTTTTGGTCATTGCGGTGTGGATTGATTTGTTTGTACAGTATAATGTACAGTGAGATTGTTGAATCCAAAAGATGATTAGTTCTTCAGAATTCAATTTCACAGAAGTATAATTCTTTTTTTTGGCCTAATCACATCATATTTAGGGAGGCAAAAGGAGACTCAAACTTGGAACTAGTGGGTGTAGGACAATATTGATATGCCTTTGTTTAATTTCTCCTCTAGTTTTAATCCAAAATGCTATATACTTAACTGTTGATTAGTTTTCGACCAAAAAAAGGGTTGATTAGTTAAATATTAGCTCTTTTCCAATTGGGTGTAATCCAGTGGAAAATGGCATTGATTTGCAGACCAAAGTTCTCAGGTTCGAATTTCCATAGCATTATAGTTGTGTGTTTGTACTAAAAGAAAAAGAGTTCATTAGTTAATCTAGAAGAAAAAATGGTTAATTAATGTAATTGTGGTTTAAAAGTGAAACTTAATTTAATTGTGGTTTAAAGGTGAAATCAATTTAAATCGGACACACCAACACCAATTATTACCAATGGAGTGTAATGAGGATTGAATCAGACTTTTAATATGCTATTAAGTGGTCCCAAATTCTAAACTTCATGATACATACATGTGTGAGTTTCCCCCCTCTCTTTCTTTAACTTCGGCCAAAGGAAAACACCAATTATTAAAACCCATCCATTGATTTAAAACTTTCGGTGGAGAGTGACGCAAGCAGCTTTTGAAGAGCTCTTGGTTTGTGAACCTTTTAGAAAGTTTGATCAGTTCCTTGTCTTTATTGCTTCCAATACTCTTGGCACAACTCTGTATATATCATGCTCAATTTATGATTTTTGGGAGTTTCACTGTTAGGTCTAATATAAAAGTTCAAATTAAAAATAAAATAAAAAAATCTATATGCAATGTATTTTAGAAACATATCTAAAGTCTATCTACAACATAAGGTTTCGAAACTTCCCATAAATTACAAAACTGTCATCAATTTTTTAAAATAAGCCAAACCCCAAAACCTTTTGTATAAAAAAAATCCAAAATACTCAATAGGACATCAAAGTAATTTAATAATCAAAATTAAATTTAACAGGGCCAGTTGTCATTTTTTATAATTTGTTTATAAAAATTAAAGAGTGCTGTTATTTCCACCCACCTGTCTTATTTTCCCACACACCTTATCTTCAAAATTTTAAAGACAAATTTACCCCTTTATAAAATAACTTTTAAGGACTTATGGAAAATGATTAAAAAACAAAACAATTACCTCAAACTTAAAATTAAAAAAAGTTAAAAAATTTCCAAAGCACAAAGATCAAATGTCAAATCCAAAGCACCCCTCAACCTCTTATTTTATCTTCATCCTAAAACCCTAACCCCAAAAGTTTTGAGCCAAAACAATGGATTCTTCATCAGAAACTCCAGTCATCATATACTCTTCCCATTTGTTGGAGGCCAGCAAATCCCAATGATCGACATGGCAAAAGTCTTCTCCTCCCACGGAACAAATCCCAATGTAATCAGATGCTCTTGTTGAAATATGTTCCATTAGTTTTGTTTTGGTTGTTAAATCTCTCCAATTAGAGCAAACAATTGCTCTTTTCAGTCATTAGATTAAATTTAAATGACTCACAAGTTAACAAAAAAGAGAATTTGCTTGAATTAATAATTAAATGGTATTTTAAGAATAATGGTGGGTGGAAAAATAAAATTGTGTTTTTTCAAATTTATATGATGAGTGGGAAGATAAGGTGAGTGGGAAAATATGACAGGTGGGTAGAAATAGCAGCACTCAAATGAAATGGTATATGATTTATCTATATAATTAGTGCTAAGAATAAATATATAATGAAGTACCTCATGATTTTTTTGGTTTTCAGCTAAAATCCATTCAAACCTTTTGCTCTTCTCCAGAAATCACTTAAAACCAGTATGAGTTTTGGGTGGGGGCAACAAAGTATCTGAAGGCTCAGAAATATATATGGTGCGGTCATTCTCTCTCACAAAAGCTGGAACTTGGCCCTTCTGTCTCACAAGAGAGAGTTGCAGTAGAAGCTTATCTCGAAGTCAGGAGACTCAGGGCTTCCTGATTTTGTCTCTATTATAAAAATTCTTTCAAGAATCTTCGATGGAAAAAAGGCCTTTCGTGCATATGCATCAAGCTATAAACGCTCCAAAACAGGCCCCTACTTGATCATGCATCTCAATTTTCTTTGTCTTTATTTTGTGTCACTTTTTTTTCTTCTTATCCAACGAATTTAAATACAATATACAGGTGCTTTGATTGCTAATGTCATCTTTGGCTACTGGGGCCCCCGAACGGCACCAAAAATCCATATATATATATAGGAACAAGAAGCATTCCAAAGAGCCCCCCAAAAAATAATGCTTGAATGAATCTCTATGGATCAAGAAGCCATACCAAAACCAAAACACTGTCGAACTCAAGCCTCTTCCGATGAGACTTTGCTGTTGCCAGGCTTACCAAACCACCTTGCACAGCTCTGCCTTGCAAAAATCAACCCTTCCGTTCTCTTCTCTGTTTGCCGCTCATGGCGGAGCCTTATCTACTCTCCTTCCTTCCCCCCTTTTTTCTCTCTCTACGCAATTCTCTCTCCACCACCACCTCATCACCACCACCACAACCCCAATTCCCCCATTCAGTTCTCCTCACTAGACCCCATATCAAACACATGGACTTCTCTCCCTCCTCCTCCGTCCTCCCCTCCTCTCCAACTCCTCCACTGCCACCCGTCCTTCCTCTCCCGAAAACTACCGATCCAATGGTTGTCCGTCTCAGGCCGCCTTGTCCTCGTTGCTGCCACTACCCACCAGTTCACACCAGCGATGCCTCGTCCTCTTGTGTTCCAACCACTGTCCAACCAGTGGTCCTTCGGCCCCCCGCTGCCCCAGCCGCGCCGCTGGTGTGGGGTCGGGACTGTGGGTGGAAAAGTGTACGTGGCTAGTGGGATTGGAACAACTTATAGAGGAGATGTTGCGAGGTCGATGGAAGAGTGGGACACGAAGAGAAAGGAGGCTTCTTCGTCATGGGTTAAGAAGGCATGCCTTAAAGATGGAAGGTTTAGCAGGGAGGATGTGGAGGCTATTGGGTACAGAGGGAAGCTATGGATGGTGAATTCGAAGGGCAATGCAGTCAAAGAAGGGGTTGTCTATGATGTGCAGAAGGACACGTGGCAAGTCATGCCTCAAGGCATGCTCGGTGGATGGAATGGGCCAGCTGCTGCAACCATCAATGATGATGGTCACGATGACCATGACGATGATGTGATGTATGTGGTGGATGAGAGAACAGGAGTATTGAACAAGTATGTTGATGAAAATGACTGCTGGGAAATGGTGATGGAGTCGGTTGTGTTAAGAGAGGCTGAGCAAGTTTGTGCCGGGAGAGGGAGAGTTTGTGTGGTTTGTGCTAACGGAAGAAGGATTGTGGTGGTAGATGTCGTGGCGACACCACCGCGAATTTGGGTGGTGGAGCCGCCGCCGATGTTGGAAGTTGTGGCGGTACACATTTTGCCTAGGATGTGTAGGCCGGATTAATATTTTAATTGCTCTTCATGTTTCATATTAAGAATAGTTTAATATAGCTTAGTTATTAGTAGTATTTATTTGTATACCATGGATATGACGATATATCAATCCTCATAGATCACAATGTGTGAGTTTTTTTTTGGGCTAGATAAATATGAAATGGAACTTTTTGTTATAATTCCTATCAAATGCAATAAAGAAAAGAACGATGAAAAGTACTTACATGTAGACATCAAATGTAGTTTTGGTTCCTTAATTAGGTAATAGAGTACTTTTTAGTTAAAAAAACGTTTAGGAGGAGGGGGATGCTCCATCTCAGATCCAGAGCATATCAAGGCCTTTTTGAGGACTTACAAAGGAAATCATAGTCCCTTTTTTAATTTTTACAGACAAATAATAGAGTGTTTTAGAAAAACAATACGAGACTATGTTAATTCTAATGTTTGTTTTTGGCAAGTATTGCATAAATGTTCTATTTTCTATATTAATTTTCTCAACTTCAAATTTCTTTTTCTTAAGAAAAAAGCAGTTACCCTATTCGAATAATACATGAAAACAAATAGAACACAAGAGATAAGGTCACAATCGGACCAAACCATAGAGAGATAAGATAAGATCACATCACATGCATTGAAAGCAAGTGAGAGATGCAAAGGCCAAACACTGAAAAAGTATCTCTTTGTTTTTCCTTGAAATAAACTAGACCCAGGCTTGTAAAGCAAGCAAGCAAGAAATTCCAAATTACAAGTCTCAAGTTCCAACCACTAAAGGCAACAACATCCACCTTTTCAAATTTAATATTGCCAGCCACTAGCTATAAAGTTTTGTCCTGTGAACCCCATTGACCCAAAAAAAGTTATCTGAAGCCTGGTCAGAAAACTTTTGTCTGTGTTCATGGTATCGGCAACTAGCTTTTATGAAGATCATAAAATAAACAGCAAGCAAGTTATTTATATTCTCAACGGCTCTTTATGCAGGAGGAGGAGGACCACCTTTTGAAGGGCTTCAAAGTTGAAAGCTACCACATATATAATTATATATTATATATTATATATGGTACATTAAATTTTGGGCACTTTTTATTATTATTATAAAAAGTGCTTCGCTTTTGGAACATCTGCATGACGATAACAAGTGCTTTAAAGTGGAAAGATTAGCCGTTCAACTCTCACGATAAAAATTCAGGTCATATTCGAATTAATTCGTCAATTTGTTAAAATATCTAGATAATTTGTTTATTGTGGGAATAAATATTTCGGCGACCAATAAACGGGTGACACGTGGAAAAAAGAAATTCTTTAGGTAAAATAATCATCCTAATTAAACCTTATTTAATTAG